AATTGCATAATGGATGAAATGTCGAATGAACACAAGAATTTCGACAGGAACTACATTGCTGCCTTATTGGTTCAGTCCGTTCGAGATGATCCAGCTTGCAAAATATCACAAGCACAGAATATTGTGAGGTCTCAATTAGGATTTCAACTTTCAAAGATGCAAGCTTGGTATGGTTTGAAGCGTTGCAGAAATAACTTGTTCGGGAGTTGGGAGTCCTCAGTGAACAAACTGCCCAAGTTTATGAAGGCACTTCATAGAACGAACCCGGGTACGGCAATTGAGTGGGTTTTCAAACCAACAGATATTCCAACACGGAAGATGATCAAGTACTTCTTTTGGGCCTTCAAGCCATGCTTGGATGGATTCAAGTTCTGTCGAAAAGTTATTAGTGTGGATGGAACTCATCTGTACACTAAGTACAAGAACAAGTTACTAATTGCCGTTTGTTTGGACGCCAATAACCAAGTGCTACCACTAGCATTTGCTCTTGTTGACAATGAAACCACGGCGGCTTGGAGGTGGTTTTTTCAAATGCTACACAGACATCTAATTTCTCAAATTCCAGATGGAGAAAGCGTTTGTGTAATTTCAGATCGAGCTCCGGGAATTTTACGAGCTTTAGCGGAGTTGCCCGAATTTGCTCCCCCTAATGTTTTTCACAGGTTTTGCTTGAGACACGTGTGCTCCAATTTCAACAAACGTTTTAAGAGTGTAGATTTGAAGGATCTATGCTACAAGGCGGGAGCGGAGTCTCAAATTTGGAAGTTTAACCACATTTTTAATGTGATCAAAAGTCGGAGTGTTGAAGCTTATAACTATTTGAAGGATATTGATCAAGAAAAATGGGCATTTGCACATGATGGGGGCAAGCGTTGTGGTCAGCTTACTACAAACATGTCAGAGGCTCATAATGGTGTTCTCAAGGGAACTCGAAAACTTCCCATCTCAACAATTGTTGACCTCACATTCAACCGCATTCTTAGGTATTTTTTTAATCGTCTCGAACAAGCCAATTTGATGGTTCAGAGAGGACAGTTGTGGTCCACATATGCTTATGGCGTTTACCGGAAACATGAAGCCAAGTCTGTTAGATGTTTTACGACTCGTTTTAATCAGCAATTGCTCTCTGCCGAGGTGATCACTAAAGCTCGTCCAAGTGGAGGTGGAAATAACAAACACACCGTGAGTTTGAGGGACCAAACTTGTACTTGTGGAAAATGGAAGCTAACAGGAATCCCCTACAGTCATGTCCTCCACGTGTGCCGTGAATGGATGTTGTCTGCCTCCGTATATGTGAACGATTGGTACATTGTTGATCGATTAGTGAACACTTATTCTGGGATATTCCAACCACTGTTGAGTGAACACTATTGGGAGGATGTTGCATTTGAACTAATTCATGATCCAACACTAGTAGGGGATCGAAGACGCAGTCGTATTCCTAATGAGATGGATGTGCCACAAACAAGGGCAAGACAACAATCTAGAAGAGAGGAACAAGCAAGACGGCTCCGATAGTATAATTTATGTAGTTCATTGCAGTTTGTATTATTTATATGGCTATTTTCTAGTTTTCACTTCGGACTATGTAGGGTCTAATTATCGTGTTTGACTTTGTATTTGTTATTGCACTTTGTACTTATTATCTGAGTTTATCTATGTATTATCGTGTTTTCAAGTCGGACTAAGTAGTCTCTAATTATCGTGTTTCACTTTGTATTTGTTATTGCACTTGTACTTATTATCTGAGTCTATCTATGTATTATTGTGTATTTGTTATTACACTTCTGCTTATTATCTGAGTGTTCTATGTATATTTTTTATACAGGATGGATGTCAGTTATGTTTATGGTCCGCGGGACACTTCATTGCTATACTGCCAGTCAGAGCACATATCCATATCGATTACATCAGCAAACGTGGATGATGTTGTGCGCGGGAGACGCTGTGATGGTTGGATTTGGGGTTTATATGGAGATGATGGTGATGATGATCCTCACCCTAGAGTGATGCAGTAGTTAATTGATACTAGGTTCTATGGAGTATATCGATGTGGTCGTCTCGTAGTCGATTTGCATCTTATTGCAGCTTTAGTGGAGAGATGGCGCCCGGAGACACACACGTTTCATTTTCGAGCAGGGGAGGCGACAGTGACACTTGAGGATGTCGCACTATTATGGGGTTTGCCTGTTGATGGACTACCTGTTACTGGACAGGATATTTCATGGTCGAAGGAGCAGTTGCAGGATTATTGTCAGACGTGGTTGGGATATACTCCTTCAGATCAAGCTTTCAAAGGGAGACGGCTATTTGCAACTGATATGTCCCTACATTTACGACATTGCACGATTACTGATGACAACACGGAGCAGCGTGTTCAGCAGCATACCAGGTGTTTACTGTTATTGCTATTTGGGGGGGTTATGTGTCCTGACACATCTTCAAGTGCAATCTCGTTGCTGTATCTTCGTCATTTCGAAGATCTTGAGGCAGTGCGTACTTTCAGTTGGGGTAGTGCAGTTCTTGGATATTTGTATCGTGAGCTATGCACTGGGGCTTTACTTAGGAAAGTTGTGGAACAAGACGGCACTGTTGAGTTGGATAAGAGGAAAACTAATCTAGGTAGTGCGCTTACTCTGTTACAGGTAATAGGATTTTTGATACTTTTAAAATTTAAATTAGTAGTTTATTATACTTGCGGTTTTTTATATTTTTTTATGTTTAATAATTAGTGTTGGGCATGGTCGAGGATCCCTTTACTCGCTCCAGCAATACTACCAGTAGTAGAAGATGATCCCCGTCGGCTTGCATATCCCCACCCTCCTTACGGTGCACGGTAAACATCTTAGTACTAATAATTTATTTATATGAAGGTTAATATATTGACTTAGCAAATTTTCGTATGATATTACAGTTGGATCAGACCTACTAGTCACACTCGGTCCTCGCCAAACAATATACGTGTTTATCGTACGACGCTCGATCGGATGCTCTGGGATCAGGTTATTTATAAGTTAACAACAATTACGTTAATGTTTGTGGTCTATTTAACAATATATTAAAAAATATTTTTTCTTTCTAGTTTACATGGATGCCTTATAGTGAACTAGATCCTGAGTTTGGCGCTTTACTTGAGTATCCTGAGATAGTGCATCCACAGCTTTGGTTGTCGAGTTGTCCCCTTATATTTTACGAGAGAGTTGAGATGCATCGTCCGTATAGGGTGCTACGTCAGTTTGGGAGGGTACAGCATATACCACCACATCCTACTGATCACGATATTGAGATTAAATTGCATTCTTATGATCGTCGAGGTGCAGGGGGTAGAGATTGGGCTCGTTTTCACGGTATCTATGTTGATAGATGGCATCGCCGACTTGATTCTCCCGTTGACTATCCATTTATTGAGTTTAGGGGACCTCAGACAGATCCAGGATACTACGAGTGGTATGAGAGGCACACACGTCGTTTGATATCACCGATTGACAATCTTGATGATATCGGTTTTCAGGTCGGAGACCCGATTTTACTGGATCTTGTGGTTAGTATTTTTCTCAAAACAACCATTACTTTCGATGTTTTACAATTTGTTTTTTCAGTTTTTTAAGTTCTTAAACTTGTAATGCCTTTTATTTTAGGGTAATCAGCTTATATCCATGAGTCTTGCTGCTAGGGCAGTTTCTCGAGATGACGATCGGATATATGATCTGTATCAGGACAATGCTACACGGATGTATGCAGCTGGGACTCAACTTCTACGTAGAGATGGTGCTTCGTTCAGCTTACCTCCGATACCTCCTATACCTTCTCCGCATCGAGATAGACGTACCAGAAGAAGGTCCAGCGCTACCGAAAGAGCTACTGAATTGGAGCATGACGTGAGACATACGAGAGAGGGGAACTATTTGTTGGGGATCGTGCATGTATACGCAGCGGAATTTAAAATTTTTAGATCGAACCAATTTCGATTACATGCATAAACTAATCACATAGTCAACGTACCTTAACGCTTCCGCCATACATATGGTAATTATCGATTTTTATTAAAAACATGTAAAACCGAAAAATATAAAACATGCTTGTTCATCATATTACACATATCGAAACACGTAATCACATATTACTCATGCTCGTAAATTAAAAATCATACAAACATGTTTGAATCGAATTACGAAAGTTCCGATTTAATTACCTCTTGTAGCGTGAGATTTCGACGAATCGAAATCCAAACTCAGACACGTACAAGCTGCGTTATACCACTCCTAGGGGCTGCAGGAACACCACCAAACGGCAGCTGGTCCGAAGGTGAAGCGACGGCGGCGCGTGCGTGTCAACGGCGGCGGCGCGTGGGCGGTGCAGCGGCGCGTGCGGCGGTGCAGCGGCGGTGTGGCGATTCCGTCGGAGCAGCAGCTCCTCTCCAATTAGGTTTCACCTCGAATAAACCGATCTACCCCTACTGGAGCACTACATACAAAGGGGTTAGATAACAAGGGAATACGATAGAGAAAGGAGAGGGAAAAACCGGCGGATTCCGGCGGCGGACGGCGGCGGTGTGGCGGGGCAGCGGCGGCCGAGAGGCTGGACGGCTAGGGCTGGACGGCTAGGGTTTTTGGGTGTAAAAATATGATCTCAAACTCTTGTTTGAGGTCTATTTATACTTAGGGTTCTCAACCCTCGTGGGCTTAAGTCATTGGGCTTGACCCACTGATGCATTAAGTCCATTCCCTCGTCAGCCTCGTTTCTAATAAACGATCGTCCACAAAATTATAACAAAATTATATTTGTGACGAGCTTAAAGTCCTCGTCGATACGAGTGCCTCATCGAAATTTCCAATTTCCAAAAGTGGAAACTTCCATTTCAGTGGACCTGCTAAATCGGGAAACTTCCCAATTTAGAAAGTTCATTAATTTCCGCATGTCTCTTTCTCTACGTTTATTCCGACTCGTAATCCTAAATCACGAATCTTGGACTCAATCATATTGACCTCCAACTTTGCAAAGATTAACATATTAACCTATGCTCATTGTTATCAAGGATCCGTGTTACACGAGAAGTGTGACCCTCAATGGTTCAGGTGTATGCTAGCCGTGGGCTCACAACTCTTTGTGATTCGAACGACACATTGTTCTTATTTGAACTCCTCCCAAGAGTCCCGATTAAAGTAAAACTCATTTTACTTAATCGCCGATCAAATCGGTGCCCAACGAATCAAGATTGACGTCTAGCAACTACGCATCATGATTCCCTAGATACAAGTGAAGTGCCTGCAAGAACCTTATGATATAGTTAGCGTACAGTACGATCCCTTCGCAGCACATGTCCCGATTGAACTAGAGGCATTGGTTCACCGAGACCTCTTATAAAGTTCAATAACCGTGCGAACGTTCTAGGTATTATAA